GCTGCCTGCCGGGCACACACACATTCCTCATTCACTCAGAAGCACAACCTTTATAAAACCCCTCTGTCGCTTCCCATTACACACACACTTGCACTCTTGATTTGACCTCTTTTGCTGCACTTTTGTGGAAACATGACCTGAAGTAAACATTACCTTGGTGATCCACCAGGTCATATAAAAAGCAGTGAATGTGAACATATTGCAGTACAACGCAACCTTTACCAACAGATGAACTTTAAAATGCCCTGCAAGGTTCCACTTTTTCATGTGAGGCTGAGATTTACCGCTTAAATAGTTTAGTTATTTAATTTCAAACTAACCTAGTATGATGACAGAATTGAAAACATCACAGACCTTAACCATCTAAATATTCCTGGTATTGTGCATGCTGGCTAACTGACACTTGATTAACCTAAATTTAGCAAAATTAGTTATTCATGTGCTTTTCCTGCTATGACAAATCTAAATGGTCCAATGTTTTGGCCAGAATTGATGTCCAAAACTTACTATCCTTTCACTGAACAGTTCTGTTTTGTTAGGGTTGTTCACAGGAGCCGCGTTCACACCGCAGTACTTTTCCCACTTTAGTTCCAATATCTGAAATGTCGCGTTCACACCTAAAAGAGCCGGAATTAAAATTAGCTTATCAGAACCTTGCTAGAGAGCAGGTACTTTCGTGGGAGAAAAAGGTTCCTATGTCTGATTGGCTGGGCGGATTGCAAACCACACCCCGTAAAACTCCCAAAAAGTGTTGTGAAGCCGCCATTTTATTATCCTCGCATTAGCATTATTAGCATTAGCATTAGCCCAGCGCACAAACGCAGAGAGACTAACTTATGGCAACACACAAGAAAACATTGGAGCGGTGGAGATGAGGAAGTGTCGGCGTTCTGGCGATTTACTCCCAGCAGCTTCTACTGAAGCCAGTCCCCAACTCCGGGGACTTCCGGCCGTGGACTCTGGGTGGCAGTATACACCGTGAAGTTCTTTGCGGCCTGCCAGTAAACCCAAAGCAGAAGAAGAAGAAGAAGTGACGTCAGCGGCTTCATTTGCCTAATCCTTCCCCAGGAACGTATTCCGGCGTGAACGTGATCTGTACTTAGTTCATGAGAACTAAAGAGTTCTCATGAACTAAGTTCTCATGAACCTTTGTGGGAAAAGTACTGCGTTGTGAATGCGCCTATTGTAGTAGCTAACTATGTCTGTTTATTGTTTGGTGTTACGCACCATGCCAATTATTTAGAATGCTCCTATTTCGAATGGGTCCACCAAAAACTAAATTAAATCCTAAGCAATACACCCCCCAGTGTGAGGTCAATAGGCGCGTTCACACCGGAGTACTTTTCCCCGTACTTTTCCCTTTTAGTTCCGATAGTTCCTGGTATTTTGCGTTCACACCAAAAAGATAATTTAGTTCATGAGAACTTTTCCCCCCTTTTCAGTCCCTGCTAGAGAGCAGGTACTTTCCTGGGGAGAAAAAAAAATCAAATTTCTGATTGGCTGGGCGAATTGCAAACCACGCCCCGTAAAACTCTGAAAGGTTTTTTGAAGCCGCCATTGTATTTGCCGGCATTAGCATTAGCCCCGTGCACCAACGGAGAGAGAATAACTCATGGCAACACAACAAAAAAACATGGGAGCGGTGGAGTGATGAGGAGGTGTCGGCCTTCTGGCGATTTACTCGGAGGGCTTCAGTATAAGCTGCTGGAGCAGCAGCTTATACTGAAGCCAGTCCCCAACTACGGGGACTTCCAGCCGGGGACTTCGGGTGGCAGTATACGCCGTGTTGTTTGCGGCCTGCCAGAAAAGCCAAAGCAGAAGAAGAAGAAGAAGAAGTGACGTCAGCGGCTTCATTTGCGTAATTTTCCCTCAGGGAACTTATTCCGGTGTGAACTCGATCGGCTCTTTATTTCCATGGGGGAACTAAGTACGGCAAAGTACTTGATGTGAAAGCGGCTAATGGAAGAATGGTTGTCTCGAAATGTACTAATAAACAAGTCACCCCATAGATCTCTCCAACCATAGGTGCTGTTGCAAGCGACAGAGAATGAGATATACCCAGCATGCAATTCGGCAGTTTAACATGCAGTTTATAGGGTTTGGCAGTGTAACAGTTTATAGGGTTCCCCTCATGATACACCAACAGTATACACACTTTTGGTGTATCATGAGGGGAGCCCTATACACTGTTACAGTGTATACTGTATAATGCACTAATAAAATATGTACAATGTCAAGAGCTAGCACTTGACATTGTACTTCCTTGGGTCCTCAGCAATACACCCGCCTAATGCCCATTGGACAACGGTTGTCAAGGAAATCGAAGGACAGACATGCATCAGACTGACTCCTTCCATTTTAGTGAGTTGTGTATTTAGTCAAACTGAATTTGCATCTTTTGAGCAGCTTTTGTAAAACCAACTAATCCCTGTGAAAATCCTGTTTAATCCTATTTTAAAGAGTGTTGCATTTGCTCGCCTGGTTCAAAAACAGAAGCAGCATGAGGGATTGGTGTCGGATAATGTGGCAACACATGGTGCCTTTTGCTTTCTTTCCAGATAAATGTCTAGAGAATTCATTATATTTTAGAAAACAGGCTTGGGGCATTTTGTTATCTATTCACTTGTATTTCCATACAATAAAGTGCAGTTTAACACATTTCCAAACCATCTCTTCCTGTCAGGCTGACATTTTCTCTTCACTGTAAACACTTCTCTCCCTAACCTCTGAGCCCTGCCCGGCTAAAGGTCCCACAGGAGCAGCTTTTATCTGTTGTAGTGAAACCTGAGTGGGGTACATGGTCAGCTATTTGAACAGTAAATATATTTGTGTGATCATATAATAGCAGGTAAGTAACACTTTGCCTTGTTTGTCTGCTTTGGCCGCCCTTGGCAAACACAGTTAGCTCATATGCATGCTCACATCTACAGACTGAAAAATAAGCTAACAAATAATAACTTTGGGGGTCCATAATAAGTGACGAGCTCTGAGGAAATGAGTCAAGGGGATTTGGAGAGAAAAACTCATTAGAAAGTAAAGTATATTCTTCTGGTATTGACCTTGCTGATTGTCCCAGCACAAGAACATGTCATTTCTTATTACATTTGACACAGCCCTTGGAGAAAGCAGAATTTATTATCAAATTTCTGCATAAGCGGATTCCTGTGCTGTTGCAAATTGGCTTATAATGATCAACATAATAAAACAGAGGACCGGGTGATGTTTTGCTGAATCTGACACATCAGTCTTGAGGCACTAAAAAACTCCACGTGTGACTGGACATGTTGTCCTCATCTGCTCTCAAATGACACCTGGATGTAGTGTCCTTGTTATCGAGGATGCAGAGGAGGGAGAACAAAGCCCTCCAAACGTCAGCGTTGGCAGTTTTAATTTGGATAATGGATCTAATTCTAGGAGGAAAATGTGTTATCATTAGGTAAATGTTGTGAAGTAAAAGCACAGCATTTACCTCTGAATTGTTGTGGGGTAGAAGTACAAAGTAGCAAAACATTGGAATACTCAAATAACGTACAAGTCCCTCAAGAAAAAAGTACTTACAGTTCTTGAATACATGTACTTAGTTACTTTACACCACTGAGGCTATTGAATAAAAATGTGTAGCCTACTTGTGGGTTATCTGTCGCCACTTTCTTTGGTTTTTTCCAGACTCTCTAAATACGCACTTTTTTTTTAGAGAGGGTTAGGGATAGTATATTTTTTGTGAAAATGGCGAAATGATAACACACACCTGTATTTGTGAAAAACCCACAAGTACCAAAATGCATTATAAAATAAATAAATCAAAGCACCCCTCTTCCGATAAGATGGTGTGTGATGAGCATCAGTCGGAGGTGGATGAAGGGAGAGCTGCTCATTGATCTGAATGACAGGTGTGGCAGCAGACAGGAGGGTGGCTGCATGGTGTGTGTGCCAAGTGTGCAGAGCTTGATAAGGAGAGAGAGCCATGTGTGTGTGGCTGAGTGAGGCTGGGAGAGAGGGAGCCCGGAAACCCATGTGTGCGTCAGAAACAAACACAAAAAACACCCACTGTAAAAAATGTCATTACAAGTAAGCCACACTTAACAAACAGCATGTCTTCTATTGTCGTGTGGCTTTATTCTATAGAAGTGACATCTAAAAAGCAAAGGTGGAGAAGAACTCAGATACAATGTTTGAAGTAAAAGTCCTGCAATCAAAATGTTACCCAAGTAAAAGTAGAAAAGTATTGGCATCAAAATATACTTTTTTTTACCAAAAGTAATAGTCATTATACGGATTGGTCCATTTCAGAATAATATATATGATATGTTTTATAATCTTTGATCATTAAAGTGTTATTGAAGCTTTGTTTACTGCAGGGTAGCTTGTGAATTTACTCCAGGTGTAACTAAATTCTGATTTAAGACTTGATTATATTTCACATCATTAATCCAAATGTCTAAAGTAACTAAAGGTATTAAATAAATGTAGTAATAATAATAATAATAATACATTTCATTTATATAGCGCTTCTCATCTGCCAAGACAAATCTTGAAGCACTCGAAGCGTAGTGGAGTAAAAGTACATGATTTACCTCTGAACCTGCTCTGAACTGTACAGTAGTAGAAGTACAAAGTAGCAGAACATTGAAACACCCAAGTAAAGTACCTCAAAATTATACTTAAGTAAATGTGTAACTTTACACCAGTGTTGAGAAGTATACTATAGGTTTTTCTCACTTCTGTCATTTTTTACACTGAGAGCCATTTGTTTTGATCAGTTGAATTAAAGCACAATTCAGAAAAGGACAAACCAAAGACATGATTCAAATGCATGAAAGACAGTATGATCTCCCCAACTTTGGCACACTTTCCCGCGTGTTTAACAGTGGTCCCCACACTGCTAAATGACTGGCTGATGTTTCTTGCAGTGTGCGGAGAGGCACCGCTCTGCCGGCCCAGCTGAACATCCAAATGCGCCCTCCCCTTTTCTGCTTTTATTTTTTGACAGACGCCGTAGATCTGCTCTAATAGCCTATCGCAGTTATACAGTCACATACACACAGACAAGGCTGAACAAAAAAAAACAACAACAAAAAACGCGCACCGATGGCGGTCTGAGGCGTTTGGCTGAGAAGTACGCACGGCGCTGTGGATTTGTGAAACCTTTTTTTTTATTGGCATCTTCTTGCGGTCTGGATCCTGGTCCCGGGGAAATAAACAAAGCTATGGATTACTCAGTCTGCTTACTTTTACTTCTGTCAACCATTTCGTCTGTGTCGACCGGACAATTCCCCACAGCGCAGATGTGAGTAAAACAGCCTGTTGGCTTTTTAGAAAGTCTCGGATAATATGCAAAGTGGCCGAAAATACAGCATGGCTCTTTAAAGAGTTTACATTTTCACAGTGATTATTTTTTTTGTGACACGTTTCCGATAGAATAAATTAAGAGATATCTAATTATTGCAGTTGGTGGAACATAATCCTCGATGCGCCTCAGCAGAATCAGAAAGTGCTTCCTTCTTGCCAACTGATGATGATCGCACATTACTTCAGATACAACTTTACCCTGTGAAACATGATATTGAAAGCTCATATCCGTTGGTTGCCAGCTAGTAGCAGTGACATGTGGCTCTCTGTCAAATGAATCATTCCAGGCTGAGGTCTGCAGGAGTCCCCAAACTTTTCCCACACAGGCAGATTTAAGCACAGTTTGGTTTGTTTATGGATCAATACAATTTAATTTACACTTCAGGACAGATCATTGATTTTGTCATTGGTTTCACGCTGAAATACCACAATATTCACTGGTTCCAGCTGCTAAAGTTTGCCTATGTTGTGTATTTTGTGATGGTAAATGGAATCATTTTGGATTTTGTTGATTGTCAGACAATAAACGCAATTTAAAAGAGGTGCCTTCAGGTTTTGAGGACTAGTAAAGACCCTTTTCCACTATTTTTGACATATTTGGAACCAATTATGAACACATTTTCAAGATAATTAATTAAACGTATAATCACAAACCAATATTTGCAGACCATCTGGGAAATTTGGGGCCCGACTCACTCATTTCAGATTGATAAGACTCAAAATATGATCTGAAAACTCTCTATATGCCCTGCCAGATGGGTTATAAATGTAAGATAAATTATCACTCCATCTAAATCTGACTCTCTATATTTGTCTCGCAACATTAACAGATCTAACAGATGATATATCCAAGATTAAACAAACGTGTAAGTGTGTGAGTCTGTTTCAGCCACCATGCTGCCCCTCACTCTTAATCAACAGGTTTGAGATATTCCAGATGGTTCTGGAGGCCGGACTACAGCATTGGGCTTTGAATGCAGCCCAACACGGTCCCCCAGAGAGGTGGTGAGCCAAGATGGCACTCAGCCTAATGGGCGAGTACAATGATGTCAGACTAGCTGAGCGGCCTGCCCACTCCCTATATTTCATGGGCACTAAGTGGATTGATCTGTGGGTTGTGTACATGATATTCACACAGAGCTGCAGACCCACTTTCACTGACACAGTTGAGTGGAATTGGCAATCTGGATAAAAAAACGATATTAAAATTCACAACAAGATTGGCAGGGGCTCTTCGTTTCAATTAGCAAACTTGATTTAGAAGAAAAGTCGATGCCAGAATCAAACTCCAAGGAACTCAGCGTCTGTATTTTGATATTTGCCAATTGGTATACACATGTGGAGGAGAGGTTTATTGCACAAAATACTCTCCCCTTCCCGCTCTCTCCCTACGTTTTGAGTCCTACTCTCTGTGAACTCTTGTGGTGACGGTGATTTTGAGTGACAAGCTTCACATCGACTCCTCAAGGTTAAAGTCTCAGAGAGAAGCAGAGACTGACCCGGTCTGTTCCCCTCCAGGAAATTCAGAAATGTGGAAGTAGCTCAGCGTTTGTGTGACTAAAAGCAGACATTTGAACACTGTGTGTGTGTAGCACTGCCGTCTTCCTCCCCTCTCACCTCCAGGAGTGAGTGTATGTCTGGGCTCCATCTCTAACCTCACATGCCAGCATCTGCCTGCTTCAGATCTTCATGTCCCCCTCTCTTTCTCCCACCCTCCCTCCACCCCTTTTCACTATCTCCCTCATCGCTCCCTCCCTTTCCGCCTTGTTTGTCCCCTGTCCATCTCCTTTCCATCCTGCTCCCCATGCATCCCTTCTCTTATTTTTTCTCCTTTGCCCCGAAGGCAGATGATAACATCATTGCATCTGAAAAGCAAAGTCTGATGTCATAGCCTTTTGCCCCAGAGAACTGGGCGCCAGCTTAGAGACAAGGAAGAGATGCACAGAAAAGATGAAGATTGAGAGAAAAAGAGACGACAAGGACATCCAGATAATTCAGCCTTCTGGATCCCATATGTCTAATGCATACGGACATTTGGCTGCATGAATTCTGCACGAGTCCCGTTTCCTGTTACCACCCTCACAGCCAAAAAGACAAAACATGTCCAAATCTTTCTGTCATCACATGCCAACGCATTATGCTGAGTTCAGCCATCCAATCCAATTATTGTTCATATGCTTTTTTGTTGGCTTAGGCTTGAGTCTCCAACAGACATACTTTTTCTCTGTCCTCCTTTTATCCACAGTTTCTGTCACCCTCTGCTCCATTTCTCCCACTCTCACTTTTTTCTTTTTTTAAAGGCTAACTAGATTTCATGCTCAACCAGCTAAAGAGCCATGCTCCTCGTGTTCTCCTCGTCTCTGGCGATCAGAGGGCATAATGTGAGGAGGCACTCCATCTGAACAGAGAGCATCATGGGCAGTTGTGTGCAGGGATAGTGTAAATATACAAATATAGAGTGGGTTCCTGAGATATGAATTGCAAGAAAACTAGGTCCATAGTCCATAATCTCATCTAACGCTAAGCAAAAAAAGGACTAAGCATTTGTCCTAAAAGTCAAACTATTCCTCTGTTATGGTATTATTTTTTTGGGTTCTCCATCTGTACATCTTGAGAAAATGGCTTTACATTTCCCACAAACTTTGTCTTAAGGCCCTGACACACCAAGCCGATTTCGGCCGTCGAAAGATGTCTGGCTGTCGATGAGCATCCTGTCGCCCTACTCAGATTGGTGTGTCCCGCACCGTTGTGTCTTTTCGGCCATGCCGACAGCCTA